AGGGGGTTTGGAGGGGCAGGGGTCCGTTTGAGTGGGCTGTGGGCGCTGCCAGCATCCCATGAGCACCCCAAAATGAGGGGACCAGGTCAGGATGGGAGCCCCAGTAACCAGAGCTGGTGGCATCATCTGGAGGAGGATGTCTTCAACCAACAAGTGGGATTTCGGGGGTCTCAGCGTGCATGGGAAGGTCCTGAGCCTTTGCCAAGCATCTGATTTGGGGTTTGCACAGGGAGCAGGGTGTCGTCCCCCACATTTGTCAACCTTTCTGGCTCCCTCACCCCAAACAACAACCACCAGCCACCAGCTTTTGCTGTCTGCCCTCATTTTTATAGATTTTTTTTTTCCTGTAGACGTCCCTGATGGGATCTCAGGGAAGATCACTGCACTCAGCAGGACAAGCCCTCCTCCTCCTCCTTCCCAGGGATAATTGTGAGACCTGTCTGGCCAGAAAAATCTGGTTTTTCCCCCCACAGGGCAAGCACAGGGAGGAGCTGGGATGAGACGGCAGAAGCACCTGAGCCAGTTCTCACCAGCAGTGGGTAAAAGGCTGATGTTTCCCCGGAGCAGGTCTCTCCTAATCCCTGTTTTCAGCCTGTTTTTGTGGTGCTGCTTCACCTTTGCCTTTGCAGCAAGTGTCTGTTGTCCAACCTTTCCTCCCTGACTATTTTTGCCCTCACTTCTCTCCACGTGTCCTCCAAACCCAGTGGGATGGACGTTGCTCCCCCAGTCAGATGATCAAAGCCTCTCCTCACTGATGGAGATGGGGTTTGCGGTTGCGTTGCTACAGCTGATGCCTGCAGCCACTTCTGCTTTCGGGCAGGAGGGGCCATACCCATTGGGGCACCCAGCACCAGCTCTGGCTTTTGTCTTATTTCACAAGAAAAGGGATTTTTTCCCAAAGCTCCTGCTCTCCCTACCACTTATGGTAGCTTCAGCCCAGATGAAGGCAGTGGGGGCAGCGGTGTGGAGGAGTTGATGGGCAACAACTCCTGCAACCACAGCTACAATCCTGTCCCAGTTACTTCACCAAGTCAGCAATTCTGAGGGAAAAAAGCATGGTTTTTGTGCCCTGTGACTATGAGGAAGATCTGACAGCTTGGAGATGATGAAACACAGGCTGGGGACTGCCACGTCCAGAGGACAGGCTCGTGTGAACAAGGCCAGGATGCGCTGTTCCCTGTGGTGAGGCTTGCAAGGCAGTGAGAGTGAGGGAAGGGGAAGGAAAGGGAGAGGCATTGAAGTGACCAAATGGATCCTCATGGCTGTTTGGCCACCTCTGCTCCATGGGGGACAGCAGGAGCCTGGCTGGTCCCTATTGGGATGCTCAGTTGCTGAAGCAACGTCCTCTGAGCATCCTCTTTGCACTGGGATGAGGGCTGGAAAGAACCCCCCGAAACCTGCCAAGGAGACATGGGATGCTCTGGGATTCCAAGAGCAGCCTTGGTTGAGTCCAGTTTCTCGCTGCCGGCCGGTGTTTGGGGACACCAGGCAGTCCCTCGCACTGGGGAGCTGGGTGCTTCCCCGCTGCCTGTGGCCGCAGAGATGGGCTGGTCCCCAGCAGCACCTTGGTGTGCTAAGAGTTAAGCTGGGAGAGGGAAAGGAGACCTTTGTCCAGCTGCCCCTGCACCTTATCTGGGGAAAGCACGGCTGAGGTGAAGTCAATACAGGAACCGGTTACAGAAACCATATGCTGGTCAGTGGCACAGTCAATGTTTCTGAGAAAGGCAGATATTTTCTTTTATTGCAAATGACAAGGCTGAGCCGCAAAGTTTACAACCAGATCTGATTTTTCCAGCTCTCTCAGACCCAGCCCTGAAGGTTGGGTCCCTCCAGGCTGGGAACGATGCAGCAGCCGCGAAGCCTGGCCCCGGCCGTGGGGACCCCTGGACACCACCACTTGCTCCAGAGTCAGCCAGGAAAACCGAGCGAAGACACGGACAGAAACAACCCTTTTCTGTGCTTCCCTTTCTCGCTGCCTGCCGTGCGTGTCTGGGGGTGCATCGTGCTTGAGCCGCGATTGCTCATGGCTTCTCCTGCATCCCTTGCACCGTCAGCAGGTCGCATGTGCCACAGTGACTCATGGGGAGTCCCGTAGCCCCCCAGACCCCACAAACACCCTGGACCCCCAAATACAGGGCTTCCCAGCTGCTTTCCCCTCCCTCGTTTGGTGCACCCACAGCTGCGTTGTCTCTGCAAGTGCCCCAGGGATCATAGTAAAATTCACTGGAAATCACTGGTTGTTCCCGGAGTTTTGTGGCCCAGAAAGAGCCCCAGGGTGTCTCCAATCTCCTTGTCACCTCCTTGTTTACCAGCATCAGCCCAGCCTGCTGAAATTACACATTTTCCTGGTGAAGTCGCTGCTCCCCCAGCCCCTGCCCGCAGCCGGGGATGCCCAGAGCCACCTCCTGGGACTTTCTGCTTTGCCTGGGCGAAGTCTCCTCTTCTGCCCTGTGGAAATCCCAGCTGAGGCCCATGGAGACCAACGGTGCAGATCCAACGGTGCAGATCCAGCACTGCCCATGAGCAGCAGCGTCTCCTGCACTGCCAAGGCCCCCTCCAGGGCAGGGGGACCCTGGTGACAGCTGGGGTGCAGCCCTGGCAGCGCTGGGGGTGCAGAGAGGAGGGCAGGGGAGGATTTAACGCTCCAGTGCATCCCAGCCGAGGTCTGCAGGGATGCTGCTCTGCTGGTCCCAACACGAGCGTGGCAGGTTTTGTTTTGTGAAAGCTTTTATTGACCCATTTTTTTTAAAAAAAGAGAATCTGGGAAGCAGATCACAGAGCTGCTCAAGACATTTTTACATTCATTATGAAATGGCTTTCCTGGCATGGACCGAACTTCTGCTGGCCTCTTCAGCCACGGTCCCTCGTGTCGCCATCACCTTGGGGACGCTGAGGCAGCGGTGAACCCCTTGTCCTGCCCGAGGGCAGCATCCCGGTGGCTCCATTCCCCTCCTGCCCCATGGGATGCCACAGCCCTAAGGGACGGCGGGGGCCAACCCCACTCTGTTGTTCCCACGGTCAAAAACGGAATAAAACTGACGGATGAAAACGTCGCCCAAAATCCAGAGGGGCCCGGCAGGAGGGGTGATGTCCAAGCCCTGGAAGCCACTGGTGCAAAAGGCCATGTTGTCGTTGTACTCCTGGAGAAGGAGAAGTGTGACGCTGGGGACCGACCTGGAGCCTCGTGCACATGCGGCACGCAGGAACAGGGCCTGCGGGTCCCATGCATGAAGCCATGGGGCTCATCACCCACTGGGACATGCGGCTCAGTGGCTCTGGGCCACCTCTGTCCAACCCAGCGGACGGGAACTGGGAGCGGTGACAGTGGTGGGGCTGCAGCCATACCATGAGGGTGTAGGCCTGGGCGCTGAGCGTGTAGGGGAGCCCGTTGATGGTGAAGGTCACGTCGGGCATCACATTCATGTTGCTGCACTCCACGGCGAACTGCGAAACAGTCGGGATGCTGCTCCTTGGGGTGTCCCTACCCCTGGGTGGGGGTCCCACGGCTTTGCCCCTGCTCTCCCCACCCTCACTCTCACCTCTCCGTCCACAGACATGGCACCAATGTAGCCTTGCAGTTCTTTTATGTCCTTGGTGGGACCGGTGACGAGCGAGGTCCCGGTGTCCACGATGGCCTGGCAGCCGTTGGCACAGAAAACCACCGTCCCACCCAGCTGGATGCTGGAGGAGGAAAGAGAGAAGGACCAGGGGGGCTCATCCTGCCCCCTGGCCCAGCCCGGCCCTCCCATCCCTACGCAGCACCACTCACTTGTCCAGCTGGATCTGCCAGTACCCTTGCTGGGTGACCGGCACCCAGTTCAGGGTCCCCGTGAAGCGAGAGGGGTCAAAGCCACCGAAGAGCAGCTCTCCGCCCAGCGAGGATTCGGGGTTCCTGGGCAGAGGAGACGTGAGGGATTTTACTTTGCACGTTGCATTTTAAACGGGTGGATTTATACCCACTCCCTTCCCACAAATGTTTAGGGTCATTCGCGTTATTCCAGCAAGGCACAGCACCAAAGAAACCCTTTCCTATCTCAGTAAAGCATCCATATTACAGCAGCCCCTCCTGCTCCCTAAAAGCAAAGCCCAAGTCTAAGCAGCAGCCTGCAGGAACGCAGTGTCCGTACGAGCTCAAGTAGACGGAGAACATGGGCAGCTCCACCAGATTTTGGGCCATCATGTTGTCAAAGACGGGGGTGACCCCGTCCACGGCCAGCGAGGGGTAAGCCAGCCCCAAGATCCCGTCGAATTCGGCGTCCAGGAAGGCTTTTCCCGGCTCACTGACGCTCTCTGCGAACTGTTGGTTGCTGATGGTGAGGCCCTCGACCTGTGGAGAGGAGGAGGAGGATGAGGAGGGTCGATGGGGATGCTAAAGCTGCAGGCAAGTCTTAGGGGGGTTGCGCAGAGCAGGAGAAACCAAAGATGACTCACGACGACTTGGTCAGATCCGATGACCCCCGTCAAGCTGCCGGTCCCGTACTGGATGGAGAAGGGGGTCCCTATCGGCTGGTACGTGCTGGACTGCGAGGGCTGGAACCTGGAGTGCTCAGCTGGGGAAGGAAACGGGAGCTGTCAGCAGAAATGGTGTTTATCTGCACCGCCATCGGAGCAAACCAGCGGCATCGGCACGGCCAAAATGCCTGTGTCACCGGCACGCTGCTGAGGGGCAGAGCTGCTCACCAGGCATCGGGGCACCGATGTTTTGACAAGGGGCAAAACTTACCCCGCTTAATTCTGCTCACCCTGGGGCTGGCTCATGGCTGATGGCCCATACAAGGCCAGTGCTTGTCACCTCCTGAGCCCCCACGCAGCCAGCCCGGAGCTGCGCTGTGGTCTCCGTGCCCGCCTCGTGGCTGCCACCCATCCCAAGCTGTTTTACGTGCTATCTTCCTCACCTGTTTGTTTAAAGGCTTTCCCACAAGAACGGCCTCAAGAGCACGTCCCGTGTCACCCCTGGGGTTAATGGTGCTGGGTGCTGGGGGTGCGATCACCTCCTGAGCAAACAAACCCGCTCCCCCGCATTCGTGTTATCTGCGGGTGCCTTGGAGGGCTCAGCTGGGTGGGGAGGTCCCCCCGAGGTCCCTGGGCTGGGGCTGCTGGTGGCCCCATGGACGGGGGCCTACCACATCCAGCTGGGGGGCACAGCAGGTCAGGGACCCCCACTCACTGCAGGCTTTGCTGACGCAGTAGACGGACGGCACCCAGAGGTTGGAGGAGCCGGTGTCAAACACCACGGTGAAGTTCTGGGGAGGGGTCCCGATGGAGATCTGCCCAAAATACTCCAGCTGGCAGAGAGTGGAGTAGAGACCCCCCTTAGCCTTTGGTAGGCCAAGGGATCCTGGGGAGGGGGGAGCCTGTGCTGGGGCGTCTGCAGGGGATGGATGGGGTTTGGTGGGGGGATGGCTGACACCGGGCCAGTGTTTGATCTGCCATGGCTGTGTTGTGCCAGGTGAAATAAAGGAGCCAAATATTTAAGGAACAGCAAAGCAAGGCGAGAACAAAAGGCAGGATCATGGGTGCGGGCACCATCCCCTTCCTGATGGGTTCAGGGCCAGGCTGTGGCGGGGCTCTGGGCTCTGGGGACAGGCCCCTCCCGCTGTGGTATACAGGGTGAGGCTGGGGACCACCCCCCCACCCCTGCGCTGGGTCCTTTGTGGTGGGGTCTCCTCTGATGTGTGATTTTTATTCGTTCTGGGGGAAATTTGTCTCCCCGCCATGTGTGGAAAGCAGTGCGGGTGCGGGGAGCACAGGCAGGGAGGGGGCTGGCAGCGCCTGACATGAATGCGCTCCCTTGTCCCCTCTCGTCCCCGCATTCCGGGGAACAAAGGAGCGGGCAGGAGCGCAGGCAGCGAGCCCTGGCACGTCGGGACAGCTGCAGGCCTGGCCTGTCTGGGGAGCATCTGGGGACAACTCGTGCAGACTGACATGCTTTTAGGATGTCTGTGGGGTGCCGCTGGGACTCAGCACCCCCAGCCCTTGATGCCACCACACTTACGTCCAGGTAGGTGATGAGGGGCTCATTGGCCTCCGTGAAGGCAGTGCAGTCCTGGCTGTACTGGACCATGTTGAGCCCGTGGGCCTTCCAGAAGTGGGAGAGCTGCCCGCGGGCCCGCAGCGTCTTCCGTAGGGAGCGGTGCCGTGTCAGGGTCACCCTGCGGAACAAAGGTACTGGTCACTCACCCGGGGCCAGCGATGCTGCTGGTGTCCTGTGGTCCACATGTCCACCCCGAGGGTCCCAGTGCTGCCAGGATGCAGGTCCAGAGCCTGCTTCCCCACATCAGCACAAAACAGGAGACGTGATCTGTTTTAGGCAGCAGCAAATCAAGGGCAAAGCAGGCAGGAGATCCTGCGTGCCCCAGCGCAGGCGTCCTCACAGCGGTGGGTCGGGCAGGAGCTCAGCGTGGCTGATGGAAAAGGACCCTCAGGCTGGGAGAGGAGACTTCATTTCCATGTTTTCTGCCCCATCTGCTTGCACAGCCCCCAGCCACGGCTGGCATCTCATCCCGCAGACCTCGCTGCAGCCCATTGCTGCTGACAGGGATGGGAGGGCCACGGAGCCGACGGACAGATGGGAGCAAACCAGCAAAGCCCTAACGTGGTCCCCATGTGGTCCCTGCGTGATTCCTGCATGGTCCCCATGCTCCTGTGCAGCCGCAGAGTGTCCATGGCGGGGGAGCTCAGCTCTGCCCATGCTCAGCGATGGTGGAACCCTGGGAGTGGAGCCCCTCTGAGAGCCCAGGGAGCTGGGGTGCTCTCTTGGGGACCCCCTTACCTTTTCAAGCTGCTGGCCAGGGAGAGGCAGAGCACGGTGAGGAGGAGGAAGCTCTTCATCGCGGCAGCTCGGCGGCAGGGCTGGCCTCATCACGGGCAGCACGGCAGCGTTGTTCTTATACCAACAGGCACAGCCTGGCCCGGCGTAGCCGCACTGCCGATAACGCCCCTTTCAGTGTCAACACCGGGCTTTGGCGAGGGGTGAATCACTGGCCACGGCAGAGCCAGCGCACTGGGGTCAAGTTTGCTCTCATGGGCGAGGGGCCGGCGGTGGCCGAGCAGGATGGAGCATGGGGACCTGTGGGCACGGGGCAAGGGGGTGTTGGTTTCTTCTGGGGGCAGTGAGGGTCCTGCAGCAGGAGCAGAATGGAGTCTCCATCCTGGTGCCGTCCCTTATCCACTGGAAATCGCACAGCCTGGATTAAAATCTTAAAAAAAACCCAACTTCCCCAAATGCTATGGGGGAGCATTTGCCCTTTCCTGGGGACCTACCTATGGCCGTGGGGCGTCCCACACCATGGGGGGTGCAGGACGGGGATGTGCTCATAGCATCTGCAAGGCAAAGGCTAATTAGCAATGATGAGCTGCTCAGGAGTCTGCAACTTTCCCTTTTAAACAGCAGTCAGGGACATCAAAGCAGGGCTGGGGAGAGGTGGCTTTGCAGAGCAGCCAGCCATAAGACACATCCCTACAGCCACTAATGGGCTCTTCCCCAGCACCGGATTGTTGTTTAACATGGGATGGCCGTGTCGTTAAGCCTCTGTGAATGCAAATCAAAAATGCTAATGAGCAAATAAAGCCCTCAGATGTGGAGGGGAGGTGAGTGGGGGAGGTCAGGCTCCTCTTGCTGCCACCATCCTTCAGACACGGATGCTGTGTTGTCTTGGTTGGTTTCCGTGTTCCTGGCACTGGAGTAACTGGGATGGGTGGCACAAAGGGAGGTGTTTTACTGGGTAAGCAGCCTTCATGTAATTAGCAGGGTTTCTACCCCTAGCACTGCTGTAATCAAAGGTCCCTTTATCTCGGCTTGGCCGTTTTATCTCATTAAAGCCCTCGCCCGGGAGATTGAAGTCCTTGCCTGTGGGGCAGAGGCTTTGCTGGGGCTGCGAGCCCAGCGTGGCCCTGGCTTATGGGGGGGCCCAGGAAAGAGCCTGCTCCTGTCCTGGGGGGTTTGTGTCTTCAACCCTGAGCTTCGCAGAGAGATTAAGCTTGAAAAATCCCATCAGAGGTTTATGTGGTGTGAGCGTGGCGGTGCGGGGCGCAGCGAGGTCGATGCTGTGGTGGATGCAGCCGGGTTCTTCCCGTTCAAGTGCAGATTCCCGGTGTTTCCCCACATCCAGGTTGGTACCTGCAGGGTTTTTTACTGTGTAGCTTTTATACAAATCTATTCTCTATTTCCCTTCTAAGATGCAGTTTAATGCACCGGGCTCCCTTCTCATCCTAATCATGTATTCACAGAAGGGATTTAAAAACCAACTTCCTAAAACAAACCCCATTGCAGCCGGTGCCAGATCAGCTGAAAGCAGCGAGCTGAATATTACGGACATGGTTTATAACCCAAAAATCCTGTAAGAAAATCCAGCCTGAAGGGTCGTTGGGCTTCTGAGATAAACGTGAGTGTGAGCACAGACGAGCCAAATACATTAAGCAAAACAGTTTATTTACTGGAAAAAATCCTAAATTGGATCAAAATAATCTGCAAATTTGTGACAGTAGAGTCAGCATTAAAATACGAAGATTAAAGAAATAAAGAGGCCAGACTTTTCATTTAGAAATTTTTGAAGTTAAGCAAATCTATTTCTACTTTTACTTAGTTACTTTAAAAGTAATTTTAAAACCCAAACTCTTAAAGGTAAATGAAGTTTTATTTCAGGTCAAACTAAATGTTTTTTTTCCTCTTTCTTTTGGGAGCCAGTGCAAAACTCGCATGTTTTTGCCCAGAAAATTGGGGAAAAAGGCTTTGCTTCATGTGCACTTTCAGCTGTACCTCAGTGCTCAGAACACACTGCATGTGCAGACGGGGGAGCTGCCCCATTTTTGAGGGGCCGTGCCCCCCATCCCTGCCTGCGCCGTGGGCACCCGTGCTGCCTTTGTGGCTCGGCCCGGGGTGACGGAGAAATCCTGCAGAATTATTTATAAAGCTGGGGGCCTTTGAATGCATCTTGTTAATAAAACAGCAGAAAAAGCACTTTGTGGAGTAGAAATGTAATGAAACGTGACTGCCAGCTACTGGAACACCCCGGGTCTTATAAGTAATATATGGCCTGTATATAATGCTGTATGGCTTCCGGGCAGCAGCTGTCACTGAGTGTATCTCACCCCATCCAGCTTTACACATTTGCCCTCAGACACGTTAGAAATAGGTTATGTCCTGTGTGCGGAAAGCGTGCCTCTCGCCGGCTCAGTGTGTGGTGCTTTGCTCATCTTGAGAAGCTGCTTTCAGGCTAAAAATATGTTATCTGTGTTCTTTATTTTTTATATGTTTCCTTTAGTTTAGCCACTTCCACTATTAGCTCTGGCTGATTCTAATCACACCCAGGTAGCGCTTTCTGAAAAGCTTTTTTCCTCTGTTTATCAAATACTCCTTCCACCTGTTAATCTGCTCATACATCACTGAGCACTTGAAAGAGTGAAACGCTGCAACAGCAAACACTCAGAAATAAAACAAAAACAAGCGAGTTTCAGTTAAATATTTACCCGTGGCACAGCAGCTGTGGGCAGAGCAGCACTGAAATTCCCCGGCGATGGAGCTGATGGATGCTGTGGTCCCAGGGGATGAGGGCCTGGCAGGGGACCCCAACTCACGATGCAACCCCTGGGGGTGAACCCCAGGATTTGGGGTATGTGGGGCTTCCCTGTAGCCAATCTTCTCTTTGCCTTTAGAAAGCTGGGGGGATTCAGAGGTGCTGGGGTGTTATTGTGCCAGGAGAGGATTGCTGAGGGTGATGGAGATGTTTAAACGCCAGGGTCCCCAGGAGAAGGTTCTGCGACCGTGTCCCTTGTGATTCAAAATGCTTTACCCCTATGGGTTTGACTTGGCAGCACTCAGGGCACTTTTTGGGTGGCAGCTGATTTGCCCAGGGCTGAGTCAGCTCCAGCACCGCTGGGCAGAGCTCCCTGCCCTTGGGCACAGCAAAGCTCCGCTGCGTTTTAGCACAAAACTGCTGGGACATGGAGCAGGAACGGGGGCACCTCCAGGAGAACCATCCATGGGGATACAGCATCTCCAGGCCTGGGCCAGAAACAGCCGCCAAACAGCAGAGAAACACCCAAATATATTCAAATGAGCCAGTTGACAGAGGGGGAGCGTCATGGAACCTCGCGTGGGCTCGTTCCTGCCATCACTGTAGGGGTAGAGTGAGACCGCATCCGGCACCGAGCTGGCGAGCGCCTCCGCACCGCTGGACCCTTGCAGCTGCTCGGCCACTGAAAACACTGCTAAAACGGCCTGAACCCCTGCTGCCTCCACGGCCCCGGCTGCCGAGGCCCTGCGGGAGAAGGAAGGCACAGAACGCTCTGGTTCCCCAGGTAAACGCTGCTGGGAATCGTGCTTCATCGGCCATCACACACGGTGTCTTGGGGAGCAGCGGGACCAGATGTGGGGATGGGAGCTGGGTTGGGTACCCAGGTCCAGGGGATGCCCATGGGCACGCATCGCTGCCAGCTCAGCTTTAGCCTTGACCTGTGGCGTCAAGGCCTGGCTCAAATGGGATTAAGATAATCTGAGGCATCGCCCTGGTTTTGCTTACCTCTAGACTGAGATTTACGCCTTGAGTTGGCTTCTCGGTAACCGGCCATGTGGGAGCTCCTTAGCTGTGATCTCCAAGGGGCGCCTTGCTTGAGCAAGGGTTAAAGTCCTGGGGCTGAGGGGAGCGAGGCACAACCTGATACACCAAAAAAGTTCATGTGCTGCCAGCGCCGTACTAGCTGTTATCTCCAAACCAGATATTTCAATATGCATACGCATATCATCTCTTCAATCTCGCCATGCCCCGTCTCAGCAAAGAAGCTGCCTGCCACTGATATTTGGATTTGGGTCTTATTTTGCAGTTTCCTTTTGAGCAGCTCATTTTTCAGATCGTTATCAGCTGCAGCAGCATCTCCTGCCCCGCAGTAGGAAAGGAGCCATTTAAGAATGACGGCCATTTGAGAAGGACATTTGGGGACAGATCGGTTCAATAAGGGAAGGGAAAAAACCAGCCAGAAATGGACTTTTAGCTTGGCAATTCCCAAACCGTTGGGGTAAGTGGAATTTTGCAGGAGATTGGTGAGGTTATGGGAAAAGCTTTTGATGAATTACTCTTAGAAATGTGTCATAGAGGAAATTATAGAATCTGATCCATAGGATGGATAATGCCCTTGCTCTGACCATCAATCCATCCATCAGCCTATCAATCATATTATTATGGCTCCTTTAATCACCATATCAGGGCTTTAGCTGAAGGCACCTCCCCGTGTTAGCCATTTATAAGCCATAAGTACACAGGCACTGAGCGAAAATTTAAAGTGTTTTTTTTTTGGAAGTGAAAGCTCACAAAATGAATGCCCCCGATTGCCGTCCTTTACTGTAAATCTCTTCAGTATTATGGCCAAAAACCCCACACCGAGGGGCCCAGTTGAGCGTGTGTGTTTTCTGATTTTGTGCCTTAAGCCCCCTTAACTTCAATGGGATTTAAGCGCTCACCTAGGATTAAACCCAGGGTTTGAAATGCAGGGGTGTTGAAGAGCTCTGACTTTTCTGGCTGGATCTCAACCCATGCAAGAGCCCCACACCAAACCCATGGGTTTCTTCTGGCTACTTTCTCCTATGGGTCTTTTTCTCCAGATTAGAGTTATCAAATATTTTTTGAGGATTTTAAAAAAAGAAGAACAAGAGGGGATTAAAGCAAGAACAGATTTCAGTGCTTGTTGCTATCGGCGGAGCCCAGGAGCTCCAGTGAGGTGTCAGATATGGCCAAGGCGGCAGCGTGTAAAGCCATTGAGCTTAACGATAACGATGGGAGAGTCTGCGGCTGTGCAAGGGGTGCACACGAGGACTCGCACATCCAGTGAGCGGTGCCTTTATTTCACATCTGCAATGTTTGAGCCTGATCTGCAGCGTTGAGCTCAATGGGACCATTTGGTTGCTTGCCCCAGGGCTGGCTGCCTCCTCCATCCCCGGGACCTCCATCACCTCCTGGGCTCACAGCGACCGAGACACCAGGCAGGGAGGATGAGCAACTGCGAGTGGTGAGTGCGGAGCTGCAGGGAGCCCCTCATGGCCCTGCCGCAACAAGGGGTGCTCTGGGGTGGGAGGACACCCAGAGACCGCATTTGGAATATTGTGTCCAGTTTTGGGCCCCTCAGTTCAAGAAGGACAGGGAACTGCTGGAGAGAGTCCAGCGTAGGGCTACAAAGATGATCAAGGGAGTGGAGCATCTCCCTTATGAGGAGCGGCTGAGGGAGCTGGGGCTCTTTAGTTTGCAGAAGAGGAGACTGAGGGGAGACCTCATTCATGGTTATAAATATTTCAAGGGTGAGTGTCACGAGGATGGAGCCAGGCTCTTCTCGGTGACAAACAATGATAGGACAAGGGGTCACGGACACAAACTGGAACACAGGAGGTTCCACTTCAATTGGAGAAGAAACTTCTTCTCAGTGAGGGTGACAGAGCCCTGGCCCAGGCTGCCCAGAGAGGTTGTGGAGTCTCCTTCTCTGCAGACATTCAAACCCCGCCTGGACGCCTTCCTGTGTAACCTCATCTGGGTGTTCCTGCTCCGGCAGGGGGATTGGACTGGATGAGCTTTGGAGGCCCCTTCCAATCCCTAACGGTCTGGGATTCTGTGATTCTGTGATTCTGTGACACCCCCTGCTATGGGCACCTTTCTGCCCGGCTTCCTGGCTGCGAGGGTGCTGTGCCGTGGGTCTGGGGACAGCGATGGAGCACGGGGTTGCTGCAGCCCCCGTCGCTGGTGACACCGCGATGGCTTTTTGCTGGGCTGGGGCAATTACGCATTGTCCCTGGATGGCAGACGCGCGGGCGCGGGTCTCGGAAAGGGCTTGTGATTTTGGCGGGAGCCGCGTTCGTAACTTCCCCCTTCCAGCAGAGCATCCTGGGGCTTTCAAAACCCCTTCTGAAGATGAGCACCCAAAAAAGAAGTGCAAGGCGCGCTGGCCATTTTTGGTAATGAAGCCCCAGATTTTCGGGCGCACCGGCCTCAAAACAAATAGCAAAACCAAAAACTGTACCAGCAAACCTTGGTCCAAAACGTGCTTTGAAGCAAGGGCAGACAAACAGTTCCTGAAACGTTTAAAATAATGTGGTTATTTCTTTCACTTGGACAAAACACTTCTCTCTGGTTCAGGTGGGTGCTTGTTGCTGTCTCTGCTGTCACCCTGATCCTGCACGCCCTGCTCCTGCTGACCCTTTACATCATGGTCAGCAGTGAAACAGG